TATACTCAAACACCCACACTATTATTTTGAATATTATTTTGGACTATTTTCTTTGTGATCATTTTATGTGATGGGAGTTTGTTTGTTTTATGTGTATGGTCAATTATATTGTGTAAATAACTCAATACATGCTGAAAAAAATCAATATCCAGTAGGTTGGAAAACTGATTCCCCCCTCATTCTCATGTAGCAGGCCTGTGTAATATAGCCAGCGCAGGACAGCAAGAATTTATGTTTGTTAAGATTTGTCATTATTGGAACTGAGACACTAACTGTATGTCCATAAATGTATGGCCACTAATTTATGGGGGGGGGGGGGGGGGGAGTTGTAAGGGTTAGGGACATTGTATAAAAGATTACTGGAGTGCCTTTTACAAGAAAATACACAATTTCAGTATTACAATGTTACATTTAATTGAATGTGTTACTTGTTGGTTCCTTAGGTGTCTTAACTATGTATTTACCTCAATGTACTTATTGTGTTGCTGTTGCATTGCAATATATATATATATATATATATATATACTGTATATATACTGTATATATACATATATATATAAACAATGTAAAAACATACAGTACATACACAACAAGTACATTATATCAAATGATTCGTTTAAACTAACACACCGTCTTGGGATGAGACTGTGCTGTTTAAACGTTATTACATAGTAGTTAAAGATGTAGTAGTTCAATTAAAGTGGGACCATGATTCTAGATTCTGAGAGAAAACATTTTCAACACCATTTGTTCTCAGTGTAGTGAAACATAAATTGCACACAAGTAGCCTTTAACAACATTGAGAATTTTATTGTTAAAAAATGTTTCACTTTATTATTAGAAAACACTACACCTTTGAAAACACCTTTGAGTGACTCAAATGGTGCCAGTTCCTTCATAATTGTTGTTGAAAATTGTGATTACCTGCCGTCTGTCAGCTCATCTCATGCTCATCACACGAGGAGCTTCAGGGCATTGATGTAATATGCACATGTATGTTTTCAATTAATCAGCTAACGGAATGTAAAGACAGAATTTCCTTTTCAAATCGAGCTTTTTCTGTTGTCAAAGATTTGCCGCTCTGGTCTTGCAGGAACTCGCTATGGAGTTGTATGTTTCCATCCATCCATCAATCCACATGCAAACATTTCCACCCAGGTGGTCTATCAGCACACAATTCTGGGGTTTCAGTATCAGCAAGGCTTCAGATAAAGATGATGGAATTGTATGACATGCAGCATCTCAAGATGTCCCTGCAGATTGCCCGGGCCTGTTCGTCTGCAGGCCTGAATGTAATTGGAAGGCAAGGATTTGATCATGGGCAGACACACGTCTCCAGTGAGCTCAATCTGAGCCTGTTGGTAAGCAGGGTCCCTAGTGACCTCTCCACGCACCGGAGATGGGGAAGAGGAATGATGTCATGGAGGGAGAGATGTGCAGTTGCATGTGAGGTGGCAAGAAGTGTGAATTAGCAGAGGTGAAATGGAGAGAGACAGCTCGACACAGCAAGCAGATAGACTCATTATTGGAGATGATGGGGAATGTGGAGGCATTAGCCAACCATCACAGTCACCAGCCTGACTCTGCTATTCATTATCTTCTCACAGAGATCACGTCCCATTACAGCCACACGCTTATAACAGATAACAGGGAATGTTTCCTGAACTTCGGCTAAGGTTCTGGCAAGCTTCTCTCATCGAACAAACATTCTAGTAAGGTTCATACATTTTTTTTAAAGTTTTCTGGTTATTAAATAATAATTTTCTTTATTATTCTAACTTAGCAAAAGAAAAAAAAAAGATTTTTACATCGTTAAAAGGTGCTATTCCTATTTCTATGTGAAGTCTCCGGGTCGGAATTTCTGCGAAATCCATCGGATGTGATGTGCATGTGCGCTCCCGAGCCTCTCTCCTTTTCATCAAGGGGTAATCCATCAGAAGTTCATCCCGCGACATCCCGCGAGGCTTCAATCAGAAATTGAAGCCTCGCGGGAGCTGCCATTGTAGCAGAACTTCACCTGCTGTTGGCATTCCATTGACTCCCATTCATTTTGGCGTCACTTTTACAGCGAAACACTTTACATCTGAGGCATCCAAAGTCGAGGGAGAAGCCCATATAGAGTAATAAAGCTAGCTCATGGATAGCTAATACTCACTCTCTCCATCTCTGTAAGATTCGGAAGGGAATTATTCAGATTCCACTCGGCACAGCTACTAGAAGACATACAGGATGATCACGTGACAGGCTCAGTTTGAGCTTGCGCAGTATGGCTGGCTATCAGCTTTTAATGGACTTCAATTTTCTCTGTTGAAATCAATGGGTTCGCTGTGTTCATTTCTTTTACTGTCTATGCTTTTTATATACATCTTATATAGTCTGATAACACCCAAAAATGACCTGCCTCCAGCAAAAAACAGACTGCAACACAAACTCCCCATAAATATATATATATATAATTTTAAATGTATCTGCTGAAGCTTGTCAGGCCAAAGGAAAACTTAGGATGAAAACACGGATCAACATCGGCAGAGCGTTTGAATTATGGAAAGACCTCCGCTATTTTTAATATGATAAATTACACGTTGTCAGATATGCAGAAATAATGGTAAACTGTAATGAAATAGCAATGTAAACTACAACATAGGATAACAAAAAGTAGGTGCTTTAGGATTCCAGATAACAAAAAGTAGGTGCTTTATGATGTAACTTTTTAAGTTTATGTACTAGATCTACTGTTTAACGTCACTCATCCCTAGGGTTGGGTATCGGTTGGGTTTTATCTGATACCAGAACCTAAACGGTTCCGGTGCCTAAACGGTTCTTGAAACGGTACTTAAGAAAACGAAACCGCACACACTTTGTCAAAAAAATAATAATACCCTTTTATTATAACAATATTATAAACATATAAATATAAACAATATTTATATTTACTATTTATATATAAACAATATGAATGTAAGCCAGAGGAGAACTGGCCCCCGACTGAGCCTGGGTTCTCCCAAGGTTTTTTCTCCATCCAATCTGATGGAGTTTTGGTTCCTTGCCACTGTCGCCTTGCTTTTGGCTTGCTCAGTTGGGGTTATTTAGCGTTTAGCAATGTTGTTGATCTGTGTTGTACTACTTTCATGTTATCACTGTGAAGCTGCTTTGATACAATCTGTATTGTGAAAAGCGCTATGTAAATAAATGTGACTTGACTTGACTATTTACAGGGCCAAACTGGACACAATATTAACTTACAATATAAATACAAGTAACATATGGTAATAATAAATAAACCAAAATAAAATAAAAGTTCATATTTACATAATATCAAATAAAACAATATTATATTAAACAATGTAATTATACTGGAGATTAATAGAGATTACTGCCAGGGTAATATGATATCGACATGGCTACAGGTTTCCATGTTTTGTCTGCTTTAACTAGTCATGTAGCTAAGTTTGTAGCGGCCCCTTGGATTTACTGATCAAGACGCAGAGAGTTTCAAACGGGTGTCGATTTATTTATGCCTCTCAACGTGCACCATGCACCATGAACACCGTGAAAACTACAGAATAAACAGAAGAAGTACAAAATGCTTCAATGTAGTTTCACAAATAATTGCACATAAATAATGTTCACATATTAATCATGTTTACACACAATGCAAATAATTTTTAACTAACAACCAATATTACTATGAAATGTTTTTAAGCCTTTATGACAAAATATCACATGCTTTTACATGAAATACAATATGGTTGCTCACAGAGATGATATTGCTTGTATATTGACGACATGTGCAATTAACCATAAACAAATGAAGTAGTAAGATTTATTTTCCTTAAAATCCCTTCTAATGACAATAAACTAGACACACTTTCATACCTCATTCCGCTATCCAAGGACGCTATTCAAATAGTTTCCACCATCAGCTATCGTGCTCTCTTGACACTCTCACAGTTCGTAGGTCTTAGAAATAACACGTACAAACAATACAAAATAATAAAATCACAATGAGAACACTTTCTTTACAAGAATCAAAGGGAAGAACATGAAAAATAACTACATGTTTAACAGTTTTACCGTTCTTCCGACGACACGTGAGCATCACATTATGAGGAGAGAGTGGCAGGAAGTTTTTGCGTCACAAACACATTAGAAGAAGAAAATGCGCCTTTTTCAAAATAAAAGCCAAACAGACAAAGTGACACCGTAGAACTATAAATATAATAATAATATAATATAAAATATTTATATAAATGTAATACTATGTAAGATAATATTAAAGTGATTTATCAGACATTTACAAAGTTATCTTGTCAATTACTAGTTAAGCTCTTAGCCAGTTGGATATTTCGTTCCCACTGCGTCTTAGCCTACGCAGCTTTTAGGGTTGCCACCTTCACTGAGGCAAAATAAGGGACACCCATACACAAGATAAATAAATAATTAAATTAAATTAAAAAAAATGTGTCAAGTGTACGGAACTGATTATTTCAACATGCCAACTTGACAGCTCAACAATAAACCACGAGAAAAAATGAGATCAAGTATGTGAGCTTAACAGAAAACATTTTATATTATTATTTTACATTTTATTATTTTACTCTTATTTACTTATATAAACTCTTCTGTATATGTTAGGGATTACAGAACCATTAATCATGTTTTTGACAATTATGCATGGATTGTTTTTATTTACTAAAATTGATTTTGAATTTGATTTTGAAATTGTTATGTAATTGTTTGTCAATTTTTTATTTAAATAATGTAGCACTTTTAAAACTTTCTTTTAATTGCCATAAAGTGTGTATAACAGATAGGATCACAATTTAATATGCATATATGATTAATATTTAATAATGCAAATTATAATATTTAAATATAATTAATAAATAAATTAATCTGTTTAATAACATTAACAAATAGGTTACCTGTCTACCAAGCTCTGTATATTAATATTATATATTTATTTTCCAAAAAAAAAAAAAAAAAAAAAAAAAAAAAAAAAAAACCATAGGCCTATACCTTTAAATTTGTCTGTCACGGCCATAGGTCATGGCATGTTGCTTTTAGTTGCATGTTCTCTAGACTCATCATGGAAACAAAGACACTAAAATGCAACCACGGGCAAATTAATTACTCTACTTCTTGTGAAATTGATTTCATTATAATTAGGTTATTATCCATAGCCTACTGTAAAATCCTTATTTGTTTATGTGTGGGTGTAAATTTCTGATAAAACCTTTAGTTCAGGAAATGTGCTACCAGGATGGTGTGTCCATTAAAACACAGGGGTCCAATACTCAGTCCATTATCATTTATTGAAAGGCCACAGGGTGAATTGGAATCAGATAGAGTTGTATGGTTTCTATAAACAAAAGAACAAACAGAATCTTAAAGATAATTAACACCATAGAACTTCAACTAATAAATCCTTAATCACATAATACATTTCAGAATTAGACAAACAGAATCTCAAGAATTAACATAATAAAACAAAGCAAACAAACTTACATTGTCAGGAACACATAAACTCTACAAAGGCTCTCATTAGGAGAGAAAGAAAGGACAATCTGTTTCCATTGCATGTGCCACACACCATCACACCAAACAATAGTACCTTATCATTCATTAAGTGCACCTGAGGAGACTTAGCTCCTCCCCTGATTGGCAATGTCATGTGATCCATAGGAATTCTCAACAGCCGCCCCCAAATGTGTAAACATTTGACCCAAGAGAATTCTGTCCAATTTTTTAATTCAAGTCATCTGAAAACTTAGTAAGGACCACCAGACGACTAACTGGGCGCATGTAGTGTTTCCCTTTAATGAGAACCTCCACAACCCTTATCCTGCCATCAGGACTTGGCGAGACCTTTGTAACAGTTCCTATAGGCCAGAGTCCCCGTGGAAGCTGCGGGTCGACGACCATTACGACAGCATCACATGAGATCGACTTTCCGTCCTGCATCCACTTCTGACGACTTTGAAGGGAAGGTAGGTAATCTCTGATAAAACTTGACCAGAATCTATCAGATAGAACTTGACTATGCCTCCACTTTCTACGTGAAAGTAGTTCAGAATCAGCATACATTACTTGAGGCAAAGAAGCATCTTGCCGCCCCATCAACAGTATGTTAGGAGTTATGGGATCAGGATCTGATAGATTAGATGTCGCATATCCAAGAGGTTTAGAGTTCAACATCTCTTCCACTTCTACCAGCACTGTATACAAGACTTCTGGAGACAGCACCTGGGTGCCCAATGTCACCCGTAAAGCGGCCTTAATGGATCGGACCTCTCTCTCCCAGCATCCTCCAAAATGCGGAGAATATGGAGGGTTAAAGTTGAATAGAATCTGGTGCTTAGAAAGCAATTCTTGAAGGGCAGGGCTGAGTTGATGGAACGCTTCTCTGAGCTCTCGCTCTCCTCCCCGAAAATTAGTTCCTTGGTCTGAGATAAGTTCATAGGGTCGACCTCTGCGAGCTATGAAACGCCGGAGGGCCAATAGAAAACTGTCTGTATCTAAACCAGATAACAGCTCAAGATGAACACATCGTGTTGTCTGACATTTGAAAAGGAGACCCCATCGTTTCTCATGTCTGCGGCCGACACTGATATTAAAGGGGCCAAAGCAGTCCATTCCAGTTGACCAAAATGGGGGCTTGTAAAGGCGGAGTCGAGAGGGAGGAAGATCAGCCATCCTCGGGACTGAAGGAGACCCTTTCCATCTTCTACACTCACGACACAAACGCTGAACTGATTTTACAGCTTGTCGTCCACGTAGAACCCAATACTTTCTACGAAGTTGGGCAAAGACTCTTTGCGGTCCTGGGTGACACAGAGTTGAATCGAGATCTGCAATCAGAAGCTTAGTTATAGGATTCTTAGGGTCCAAAATTATGGGATGGATCGTTTCTAACTCCAAGTCCTTGCTCTGCCGAAGGCGACCTCCCACTCTTATGAGACCAGTCACAGGATCCCACTCAGGTGCCAATTCAACAAGTCTACTTTGTGCTGAAACACCTTGATTTAGTTGGAGTAACTTGCTCTCCTCAGGAAAATCCTCCTCTTGTGCCTGACGAAGTAGTAACAGCTCTGCTTGATTCTGATTGAGCTTGTTCTCTGGTGCTTGATCAAGAGAAAACTTCTCAATGGTATCAGAAATCAACTCTGACCAAGTGTTAAATTGGACAGGGTCCACTTTAGAAAGACTTGGTAAAACTTGTGTCTGGCTACAAAACACAGTTTTTTTCAATTCCAGTGATACTTCAGGAGTAGTTATTGGATACTTTGGCCATTGATGAGAGGGTAAGGCAAGGAAAGGAGGTCCTCGAAACCAACGACTAGTAGGAGATAGCTCTGTCAACTTCTTTCCTCTAGTAATTTCATCGGCCGGATTGTTTCCAGTATCCACATATCTCCACTGGTCTGGTGTAGTATAATCTAGAATCTCAGTTATCCGATTAGCTACAAATATCTTGTACAAACAAGATTCAGAGCAGATCCATGTCAAAACTGTGGTTGAATCAGTCCAAAGCGTCACTTTATGGATGGGCACAGAAAGTTCCTTCACTAAAAGATTTGCCAGTTGAGATCCAACTAGAGCCGCACATAGTTCTAGACGTGGGATGGAAATGGTCTTCTTTGGGGATACTCTAGATCGAGCCATAATAAATGAGGTGACAACTTCATTCCCATTTGAAAGATGAAGGTAAGATACGGCTCCGTAAGCCCGCTCTGATGCATCACAAAATACATGCAGTTCTCTCCTCTCTTCACCTGATCCTACTGATCCATACCACCGAGGAACTTGGATCTTGCTCAAGCCAGATAGCTCCTCTTCCCAAGCCATCCAACTTCTCTTAATGCCTTCAGGAATATCTGGATCATCCCATCCACGCCCAGGTTTGATCCACAACTGCTGGAGCATGATCTTAGCACGTGTAGTGAAGGGAATAATAAACCCCAACGGGTCATATTGTCGAGCAAGGATGCGATACAGGATCCGCAAAGTCAGGGTCTGGTATTCCACAGGTCGGTGCTTATACCCCAAAGTATCCTGTAAACAGTGCCAGCTCATCCCGAGTGTGCCCTCACATGGATCATTACAATCATGACTCAGCCATAAGTCGGTTTGCAGGGAACGTGCTTCATCTGGTAAGTGGTCAACCACGGAGGCATAATTACTACTCCATTGTCTGATCTCAAAGCCTCCTTCACTCAGTGCAGAACGTAGTTTCAAGATCATTTCCTTTGCGTCGTCAATGGTAGGCAAACTTTGCAAGCAGTTATCGACATAGAATGAATGAAGGACTGAATCTTGAACTTCTGGATAGGTAGTTGAGATTCTTTTTGCATGTCTTTGAAGAGCATAAATGGCACAGCAGGGACTTGATGTAGTACCAAATGGTAAAACTTGCCATTCATAAACATCCACTGGGGCATTTCTGGACATATTTCTCCACAGAAACCGTAACAATGGCCTATCTGAAGGTAGTAATCGAACTTGATGAAACATGGCGCGGATATCGCCACTGATTGCCACTTGATGTTCTCTAAAACGGAGAAGGACTCCGAGAAGAGAAGAACCCAAGGTCGGGCCAGATAACAAATATGAATTCAGGCTTTCACCGTTATATTGATAGGAACAATCAAATACTAGACGGTGTTTCCCATTATGTTCAACTAGATGATGGGGTACATACCAAGATTCATCAGTGGAAGTCATTGCCTTTGGGTTCAGTTTCTTCACATAGCCAGATTCCACTAGCTTTTGAATCTCCTCCTCATATATTGCTGCACGCACTGGATTCTTTGCAATCTGGCGTTCGGTACGACGCAATGCTGGCATTACTGATTGCTGCAGAACATTCAATCTGGGTGCATGTTTGGCTCGAAGTAAAGGAGTGGCATATCTTACAACACCATTCATTTCCAGGCATTCGGTTCTCTGCTCCAGACACTCAAGAGCGTATTGGTCTTGCTTTGACCGAAAAACTGCCTTAGATGTCTGATGATACGGAAGAACATCGACTTGCCACAATCTTTCTACATCCCTCTGTAACTGATCTTCGGTGGAAGTAGCCAAGAAGTGGCACTGAGAGATAGAATCAGTCTCAGGAATCAAGGAAGTGGGACCCTGCAGTACCCATCCCAGACGAGTATGTAATGCAATAGGACTTCCAGGAGGACCAAATGTTACTCTTTCTGTAGAGCATAACAAATGAGGATGATCTGCTCCCACTAACAACAGGGGCTTAACCTGATGGAATTCTTCAAGAGGAATACGTCTAAGATGCTGATAGCATCTTTGAAGAGTACGGACAGGGTAAGTCTGTTCAGGTAAGTCCAACATCTTGGATGTAAATGCAGCACTGATCTCATATTTCCTTTGGCTGAAAGATGCCGGAGCGATGGAAAATGTAACGTTAGTGCCCTTAATCTCTTCAGAACCCTGTCGAATTGTTCTCAACCTTAGAGACTCAGCCGGCCCATTTAGGCCCAACATCTCTGCAGCTGGAGAAAGGAGCATAGTTCTTTCTGAACCGTCATCAAGAATGGCGTAGGTCTCCACAGTCCTCCCTTCATAACTCAGAATGACTTTCACCACCTTCAAAAGCACAGAATTGAGGCCACTTGGTCTACTCAAATAGAATATACCAGAGTCAGGTTTACGAACATTGACTTCGTGCAAAACTCCCAGATGGCGCTCTTTGCAGTATGGACAAGGCTTCTTCAAGTCACAATTAGCTGAACGATGGGTCCGACCACATCTCCAACACCGACCATTATCCAGGATCCACTTCTCTTTACCCTCCGCATCAAACTGTTGGAACTTCATACACTGACTCAAGTGATGAGCTTGATGACCACAAAAGGCACAGAAAGGTCCTGGGTCTAATTGTTTGCTATACGAATTAGTAGGCTGAAACATTTTACCTTTCGGGTTGTAATGTTCCTCTTGATTTGCACCCTGCAAAAAGGTTGCTGTTGTATACCAAGATTTGGGAGGTCTTTCTTCTCTCATTTGATACTTTGTTGCCCCCTTTGATTGGTCAGATACTTGAACAACTAAACTTTGGCATTCTGCTTCCTCCTCTAGCCATTTTGCAAAATCCACCAAATTATAAGGAACATTCTGATTAACAGTTCGAATATGTCTTGCAAAACTGGAAACATGATGGGCTGAAAGTTTACTTAATAGCTGGTGAACATGAGACGAACAGGCCAACTCCTTCGCCCCTTGATCTTGACCCCATGATTGGAGCATGCCTACTAGAGCCTGAACTCGTAGCGCAAACTGACCAAACCCAAGGGAATCCCCAGAACGTATAGCTGGAAGGTTTTGAATGGAAGCCAACTCCCGCAACACTAAGTGATGAGGTTGGCCATACTTCCGTTGCAGGGCATGTAATGCTGTAGTATAAGGCTGGGGATCATGAGCATATGCCAGGGCTAAATGTCGCGCATCATCAAGCTTCAGATGATCCAAAAGAATATGGTATTTGTATTGTTCTGATTCCTCTGAAGGCAATAGATTTTTTAATGCCATATTTAGCATTGCAAATTCTTGAGGATCGTTTCTTTTGAAACATGGAAATGAAGGCCTCTCAATTCCAGCCAGTCTTGAATTCCCAGAGGAAGGGTGAACACAAGCTGTCACTACTGGTTGATTCACCACTGAATCTCTGGACTGGATCACACCTGAAGATCCCAGCGGTGTGTGAGTTCTAAACACAGGAACATTACTAGTAGCAGTCACATCTAAAGGACCCATGGATGGTCCGAACTGTGCAGGAGGTATCGAAGGAACTTGAATCGATGATGGCATGGCCATCGGAAAGACATGACTTGGATACACAATAGGTCCATAAGGGGGATATAATGCAGGAGGAGGAACAGGTACAGGATAATTTGGAAACATCCATGGAGGAAATCCATTGCCTTGCCCTTGGCTAGGGACAGGCCCACCGCTTCTTATGAAACGCGAATCATTGGCTGGATAGATGGGATACAATGGCTGTTGGATTAAGGACCAAGGTGGAACATTGCCAAACTGAGTTGGATTCATACTCATTCCAGGAAGATTCTCTGAAGGCTGAAACTGAGAGTGAGCATACTGTGTAGCAACTGGTGCTGTTAACATTCGGGCCTCAGGCAGCTGTAAAGAACTGGGTTCTAATGATCCACCTCCTCCTTGTGGCAATGGTGTAGGCAGCATAGATCTTGGTGGAGGAGGGAGAGTACTTTGTCTGCTGAGTTGAGGAGGTGATGTAGATGGATCAACATAATGTCGGTTTGCCTCATGTTGTCTTAGGCATTCACCCAATTCCTGAACAAGAGATACTCTAGAATTATCATCCTCTTGATTATGTTCAACAACAGGAGATGTTGCCTTAGAACTCTGGTTGGAACTGATCGAAAAGGAAGAATTTTGACTTCTTATCTGCATTGTTCTCATACTCTGGCTCAGTTCTGACAACATTCCTTTTATTTGCTGTACGTCACAAGCAAGATCCCTCACCTCAGCCCGAGTCTCAGCTATGGCAGCCCCCTGTGATACTTCTAGAAGCACAGAATCAGACGTAGTTTGTCCTTGTGGACAAGATGGTTTCCTTGACTGAATCAAATAATCTCGATGCCATCTGGGGGGGTTTGATATCCGTTTAGGTCTCGTAGAATCATTTTGTTCCATCCTAGCAGCCTCTCCGGCTCGAAGGACCATGTAAATTTCTGATAAAACCTTTAGTTCAGGAAATGTGCTACCAGGATGGTGTGTCCATTAAAACACAGGGGTCCAATACTCAGTCCATTATCATTTATTGAAAGGCCACAGGGTGAATTGGAATCAGATAGAGTTGTATGGTTTCTATAAACAAAAGAACAAACAGAATCTTAAAGATAATTAACACCATAGAACTTCAACTAATAAATCCTTAATCACATAATACATTTCAGAATTAGACAAACAGAATCTCAAGAATTAACATAATAAAACAAAGCAAACAAACTTACATTGTCAGGAACACATAAACTCTACAAAGGCTCTCATTAGGAGAGAAAGAAAGGACAATCTGTTTCCATTGCATGTGCCACACACCATCACACCAAACAATAGTACCTTATCATTCATTAAGTGCACCTGAGGAGACTTAGCTCCTCCCCTGATTGGCAATGTCATGTGATCCATAGGAATTCTCAACAGTGGGTCTATGTAAAATTATGTCTGTATGACTATTTCTATTATTGGTAAGAAAATCTATTTATTATTTATGTATTCAGACATAGGCTATTGTTAATTCTATTATAGCCTATGGAATTCTCTGGGTTTGTTAAGCAAGTTATTTTTCTCCACAACATTCACATTTTTATTATTAAATATGTATTTAATATCTCTCTCTCTTATTTCTTATTATAACTTATTTAGGCTACTCATTGCCACTGACACTTTCCAGCGAAGTATTTTGTTTCCTCACACTCTCGTCGTTACTTTTGCATACGCTTTCGTTTCAGAGGTGGACGCAACTCTCTGCCAAAAGACCCGCCCTCTTCTGACTCTGATTGGTCCTGAACCTGATAGTGTTAACCCCTTGCCTGGCATGGGATCACCAGTGATCCCAACTTGTATTGTTTACATTGATCGCGTGTTTACAATATCTATTTGTCAAGTTATAAGGTTAACCAATACATTGTTGTAAAGCTACGACATTGTATATTCGTTTCGATATAAGCATTATACAATCAAGAAAACTTTGCTGCCGTTTTTTGTTATTCTGTATCAACTTTAACAACGTGATACAACTATGAAGGGGGTGGGGGGGGGCTTACCTTTTTATGTTGTGTAAATGTAATGCTTGGCACAATAATGATGACATCGGTCTTTTTACCACGTGAAGAGTCCAGTATATGATGTCCATGGGAAAAAAATTGTCTAAAAACATGCAAACTGTTAAAAATATCCATATTACTTCTATTGTTTACATCCTGACATTTGCTAATCACATGGGGCGTTGTCCTGTTTATTCGACGAACTCTCCACATCTAGCACATTATTCAACGAAAACAACATATCAGTGTTTTTAGTAGAGTGTCTGGAAATGAATGAGATCGGTCCAGAAGATGTCCGATGAAAACTGGCCATGTAATTATAGAAAGTATTGAAGGATGTCAGGCGCTTTTGCTGACGTGTGATCATGTATAATGCTAATATGTGTGGTAAAAAAATAAACCAATAGCAATGGGAAACGTTTCTGTTGTCACCCATCTGAAGCCTATGGCATAACGAATACGCCCATGTGCGGATTTACATAATCTCGCGTTTATAACAGTGTTCCTTTGTGCGCGCAACCATTTGCTTCATGGAAATTTACGCACACGTGACGAGGTTGTCATGACACCCAGGCTCTGCTCTATGCTACACCTGCTGGCTGGCGTTCACTCGCTCTGTTTACATTCGCCTGCTGCAATGGGTTCACGTCGGGGACAGAAGTTATTTCTCCTACTGCTGCAATGGAATAACTTCTGCAAAGCTGGGATGAAGAAAACGTGTATTTTTCAGAAGAGAGTTCTGTATCCAGCGCCGTCTCTGAAGAAGAGGATATGTTTTTGGCAGGTCTCGATCCAGTTTTAGATCGGTAAGTTTCTAAACATGCTAGTGAGTTTGTTACATTGCTTTTTAGTTTTTATTTTCTGCACTAGTATTGGGGCTTATAAGTACATTGAAATGCAGTGCAATTCCATTGTTATTCAAGCGCTGAATTAGAAGTGTAACGTTACAACATTGAACATTATTTATGTAACTTTAGCTATAGGCTAGCTGCTATTGTTTTGTATGTAGAACGCAAGACGAAGTTCAAACAAAACTTTTCAGAGAACAAAATGTAATTTATATGTAAGATAATCAGTTGTGTTAGGCGTGTTTCTAATCCATGTTGTGTAATTCAACAGTGACGATGATGATGATGAGAGTACCAGACAGAGGCCTCTCTGGACAACAGACAAACAAAGTGTCCATGTGTTGCTGCAACATCTACAGCTGTCTCTGGGAGTTCAAGAGGAAAGAGACAGCCCAGCACTTTGTGGTAAGTAAATAATGTGAAGCAAGTAATGTTTAGTGAGGAAAAAATAGTATTTTAGGGCATTGTTGTCTGATTACAGTCTGCACTATAAGCTGGTGTAAATGTGCAATCAGGGCAACAAAAGAGTTGCTATAGAGGTGAATTGCTCTATGTGAATGATAATTTGAATATAAAATCTGTAGTGTAAATGTGCCATCAGTGCAACAATAGAGTGGCTATGGAGGTGAATGCTGTATGTGAATGATCCTCACAGATTTTACATTCAAAGCCGGTAGTGCAAATATAGCGCAGTTATCTCAGATAACTCAATCCAGCGATACTAATCATAAACAACAGGTGTGTTCGAAGAACCCAATTAGCCGGATCATGATTAGCACGATGATATCATCTTGGATGTCTCATTTGATCTCGGATGTTTTAAGCAACGTACGAAGAACGAGCCCCTGGTGTTAAATGTTTACACACAAAAAAAAAGTTCTTTTTTTTTTAAATAAATAAATATGCATGAGATTTAGTGAGTGTTGTGCCAATGGATATAAACTCAGGTACACGATTTGATAACCACTGTTTTAGGGAAAATTACACTTTATTCGTATAGCGGTAATATTGGTAATGATCATTATTAAAAAATGCTGTGATACTGATCCAAAATATTCCATGAGTGCAATAAATGACACCAGTGTCCAAATGTCTATGTATTGTTAAAATTACAGTATTGTTAAAGTCCCCCTGCATCAATAATTGAATCCCTTAAAACTCAACTTTGATCACAATTACGTGATATTACGTGATAGTTTTTTTGCTATACGAAACTAGCAGTAAGCTAGATCCACATTAGAATAACATACTGACCATTTTCTAATATTTCATCATGTTGAGTTAACGTTATATAACCAGAGGTGTAGTGGTAAAAAAAGAGGTGGGTAAACTATAAATTCTGGTGGACCATGTGACACGGTCACCAGGTGGGTCACTGCCGACCACATGGACGCGGGAAGTAGGGGTGCTGCAGCACCCCCTGTTGGCAAACAGTGACAGCTTCCAGAATTCAACAAGAAACTGTTATTGAAATATGAAGCAGTTCCAACTTTAAAACCAGAGGCAGCAGTTGTTGGGCCACAACCTGTAAGTAGTGTATGTATCATTTCAGACGTAATGTTTTAGTTTGATCAAAAGCCAGTGCTGGCTTTATAGCCACTAGGCTACATGCTATTTCGTGTCTACGACAAACGCATACAAACATTATGGACCTGAATTTGTATATGTACTAATTTTGTGTTTGTCATGTATATATACTTTATGGTGTTATTTTTCGATTTGATCAAGAACGTAAACCAATGCCAACACTGTTTGTGTATATAGTAGCCAGTCAGTTCGATGCTATTGTGTAAAACAAACGTGCATAACGTAAAAAAATATATAGGCAAATAACCATTCAGAAACATTTTGTAAGAGCCGTGTTTAGGGACTCATACTGATACTGCAGTATCGACACCATTATTTACATTTGACAGGAACACACATGCAACTTTCGCCCGTAAAGGTAATGGCCGTGAAGTATCCGGACAATGTGCACTACACATTGCCAAACACACCAGCCCAAATTAACCAATCTGGGCCCACTGCCTGTTTCTGAGGGAGTGGTTTCATAGACTCAGGAAGTCAACCGGTCTTTCAAATGACAGAGGAAACTTTTTTTTTTAAAAAAAAAAGAAGAAAAAAACACCAATACATGTTCTATTGCACCCCATAAACACAATCATGCAAAGAAAAAAAAAAAAAAAAAAGCAGTAGACCACCCCTTTAATACAGCCAGACATGACAACAGCTAGCATGGCACAAGTTGAGTTTGTGGCTCACTTTCTTAAACAGGTGATAAACAGACAATTTGAAGTAACATCACAAGTTAAAGTTACATCTTATTTTTTTTTAAGATGTAAAAAAACTCCTGTCCTACATCTGTGCTCTAATTCCATTCAGCTTTCAAGCTTCGAGACACTTTCCGTGTTTTGTTTTTACATTTTTTGTATTATTATTATTAAAACCACTGGCTGAAAGGTGTATTCTGTCCCTTGTGTGCCGGTCATCACCTTAAATAAGGTGTAGTGTGTTCTAAGCATGTCTCGCCTCACTGGCCTCGGGCAGAAGGTGTGTGTACAGAGGTGAAGCTGCTCAATAAAACAAACCCTCCTAATGTCAAGTCCTGCTGACCTTTTCTTCTTTCTCAAGCGTGAGTGGATCCACTGCAGGTCCTGCTGGATTTATGGACTTTACACTCTTACAGAGAAACAGTAGGAGAAGAGACCTTTGGAAATTGGATTGCTGCTGTTCGTGTCCCTCGAGTCGCTGACTTTTAATTGGACGGCTGCTTTTTGTTCAGATATTAGCATGAGTAATGTGTCTTGCTTTGGGCTCTATGACGTCCTCCTGACTTCTCAAGGTGATGGCGACTTTCACCGCACACATCTCACTCTCGCTTTCTTTTTCGGGTTCTGTGTTGGGCGAAAATTCTTTCTGTTCTCTCATCTCATCAGAGTCCATTGTGAAAGTCAAGTTGGGCTAGAAGGAACTGAAGAAAGGAACACCCTGTGATCCGCTTTCAACACCTTGAGCTTCACTCCGATCCTCTCACCACTCTAGTCTCATTTAACTCCCACCGCGAGTCCATGAAAGAGAATCGTGGTAGTTAAAAAATAATAGCTTTTGCTCCTTCTCACCTGGCAGTGATTAATATTTCCTTATAAATAGCTTTTCATTATGAAGTGAATCTAAGGGAAGGTATTTTTTTACTGAATGACCAGTTTTACCCATTTACATTTTAAAATGTAAAATATCCTTTTTAAATCCTGTCAAAATAATTGGATGAATAAGCAAAGAATTAAAATTATTCAGGCATGTGTGTGTGTGTGTGCGCGTGCATATATCAGTGCAAATGATAGTACACCTTTTAAAAGCACTTCCACTGTTTGCCAGTTCAAATCAGATTTGTTCTAAATCATGCAGAAATTTCAGCAGGATGTAGATATTCATCCATGAATTCATGGACATGGAAGGTCGTATGACATATGTATTAATGTTT